GAGGGGGGGGGGGGGGGGGGCCCCCCCCCCCCCCTCCCCCCCCCTCCCTACCCCGAGAGAGCGCTGAGGCGGAGAAATAGCCTGATGTCACAGCCGATAACCTGTGATGTACAACCCGGTCTGGTTCATCAAAACCACCAGCGGCCACTTGTTGCAGAGACGGAAGGTCTAGAGTCTATTGCCCTTAAATCATGTATGTGCATCGACGAGTACATATGCCGGAGCATGTCCGGTAGAAACTACCTGCCCAGAGCTCGTCTGATTGTCGGTCGACACCCACAGAGCGATCCCGGGTTCTGAAATCCGTACCGATAGTCGCTATGAGCAGCAGGTCATATATGCCGTGGATTGTTTCGTCTGTGATGGAGTGTGCGAGCGTGTAGGGCTATCGAACTGAGCTGAGCGAGAGCCAACACCGAGGGCGGGGCTTTCGATTTTTTTTTTTTTCGTGTAGACTCGAGATCCCCGGCGTACTTGACCGAGGTTTTCTGACCCCTACACCGCGACTAAAGCATCGTTTCTCTTCGTTGTTTTTGCTAAATCCTCGAGAAACACCACAGCTACAGGAAGCTTCTTTCCTCACTACCAACCGTGCGCTCGGCGGCGAGAACTCTTACAAAAATGTACTTCGTATATCGTTTTGCACCCCACTCATATCCGAGCCGAAATAACACTGTGCAGTGGAAGGACAAGGACACACCGAGCAAACTGGTAGCCCTGTCTCTGTAATACCTGATGCACGCAAGCAATCTCACCACGTCAAGAAGACTCCGAAGCATAGCCATCTTCTCATCACGCCGCGGACGTCTTTCTCGGCCTGGGCTTTCCTGTTGGTCTCCAACACCCTCGCCTTCCTGGCAGCGCGAAGACTCTTGTCAGCTTCGATCACCCGGGCGGCGAGGCGGCTCTTGACGGAATCGATGTCTCGACAGCGGCGCTTTCGTGTCCCCCCCCCCCCCAGATTCAGGGATCCGCTTTACGTGTGTGCCGACCATACCTTAGGAGGTCTCCGATGATGCTCGTTAGGGAGCTCACCCCTTATGGGGCACCCTTATGGGTGGGATGAATGCTGTGACCGAGTTTGTTGGCCTCGAAAAACTCGGAACGAGACAGGTAGGTCCGGCGCCCGGAAATCTGCCCTCAAGGGCAGGCGGGGACCGGCCTGCCCTCGAACCGCCTCTGGAACTAGAGCCATTACATAACCAATGTTTGAATTGATCTGAGCCACTCAGACTCAGGGCGGAGTTAAAGTCGCCAACACGATCGACGTACGGACCCACGCACGGGAATGTTGGGTCGAGACCTCGTCTCCTTCTCCGGCGGGTATGGCCTCTTCATTGATAGGGAAGGACCTTCCCAAAGACCCGACTATTCGCATGTCTCGTTGGAGCAACCCGTCCCTCACGGATGAACAGGTGCGATTCAGGAAGCGCTGACTTAATTGTATCTGCAATAATTGGGAACGTGCTCTGCTTCGCTCGTCTTCCTCAAGGTCTGACTTTCTCTTTGTGTCCTAACGTGCCATGACTTCCAAATACTACGGCCACAGGTACACTATGCCTGCCTAGATGCTTATGCATCCGTTCTCATGGACCTGGAGATCGAGAGGTGTAAAGATCCCATTCGGAACCCAGCTCCAACAACGCTGCCAGCGGGTACAAAGGTATGATAGGAAGTTGGTGTTTGTGCGAAGACATCATACTTATTGTCCGCGGTCATACTTTGGGCGGTATGTCAGCACCTCTCGCCAACATTTCTGTGTTATTCGCTGATATTCTCTTAGGTACGTCTCTACAGCAGCAATCACAGAAGCTGTGTTGGTGTTGGGGAAGTGCAAGACGAGGCGACTAGCACGCAAGCTGAGATTAGGTGGACTACACCGCGACGACGGGCAGGGCGTGTCGTGGTCAACCTTAGCGAGGCGCTTGTGCCTGCTGCGTTCATTCCCCACAAGGGGGCACCTTCTGTGGGTGTGGGCCGCGTGACGATTAAAGACGTCTTGAAGGATGTTGTCGACAATCTGGTTCTGTGGGACGTTGCCCATGTTCGTCTCGCCAGCGACTGGGTAGCACCTCCCGTGACACCAGCACCTTTGGCAAACGGGAATGGCAGTGCTGCTTATGACGATGAGGACGAATTCTTCGCTGTTCAAGCACCTTCCCACGTGGTACACTCTCGAGGTAAGGTCTCGTCCCCCTCTCTGGAAAATTGTTAGGATAGCTGACTTCAACAACATGTTGCATCATCCGAAGAGCACTGTACCGACCATCATGTCATGTTTTGTTTTGTCCTAGATGACGAAGACTTGGAGGAATAGGAGGAAGAGGAGGTCAGCGATGAACACGATATCGATCTGTGCAGCAGTCGCGCTTGTCAGCAAGGAGACACGGGCGATATTCATGATGATATCGACGAGGACAATGTGAGTGCAATGTCAGGGTAGTTCTTGAGAGTTGTCATTGACTGCTGTTTTGCAAGCAGCTCATCCACCGGTGGTCTGTTCGCTGAACCACTTTTTTTCTCAGGGGACCAAGAGGCACATGCTCAAGGTTCGGCTGGACAACTTTCACGCGCTGCAACGTATCTCGCGCCTGGTGAAGAAGAGTCACGGCGCACACAGGACATTCATGAGTCGATTGAGAGACGCATGCTTAGTTGTCAACAAAGACGATATCCGCGAGGTAAGTGTTTTTTGCGTTGCTTGTGCTGTTCGTCGGGGTCGAAATATCGAGGTAGTGATCATTTCGCGCAGGAATGCATGCATTGAATAGAACACTTCCTACGTCGTATCTAACAGCGGTTTTCGGGTTTGTCTTACAATATCGCGCCTGTGTTCGAAATGTCAGGTAGAATAATCTCTTCAAGCGCAAGGCATGACGCCGGAGAAGGTGAAAGAGCACAAGGACAGGAACTGGACGTATTTTCTGCGGAACTGTCGCCGGTTGGTGCCGGAACGGGAACGTTTGTTGCAGCGTTTCAATAAAGTGATAGAGCAGTTCTGGGATGTCATTGATTCCAAGTCCGGAGAAATTCTCCTACGGCCGAAAGCCATGGACGCCATTCACCTCCTGCGCAGGCACATCGAAGCTGACTGCTTGATTGATCCCGACGATGTAGCGCTGTACTACACAACGGGCAAGACCACAGGGGGGATCACCTCGCGTCGCTGTGTCCGCGGAACCAATAGCACCGAGGTGAGCACCACGCTTCTGACAAAGTGGAGTTCAGCAACCGATTCCTGCTCATTGCTCGTTTATGCCGTCGAAGTACCGTTCAATATGCTCATCTGAATCTTTCTCGCACAACTCTTGGCGCATTTGGTAGGGGGTCGGTGCGATTTCGTACCCATAGACTACTAGTCTACGCACCATCTGTTTTTTTCGTCGTCCGCGTGTTTTTTTTTTTCTCGAAAGGGTTACCAGCGTTACCTCCGCAGGTTGCTATCGACGTATTGCGCGTCTCCCGCGCTAGCCCACTCCATCCTCCTTGAGTTCAACCATCGCTGGAATATCAAGATGGCTGTGAAGAACCGCAACCTGCCGAAGGAGATCGGCGGATGCTTCGATCAGTTCGACATCGAGATCATTCAACGCGAGACGACGTCCTGGGACCTGGACAGCCCGGTATTTTCTGAACGGGTTTCGGCACTTGACGCGGCAGACACTGGCCAGAGGAGTGGGCTCGCGCAGAGCATGTGCGGGGGGGCTGATGCTGGTGATTCGGGGGTTGATGCTCTTGGCGAGCAAGAAATGGTCCAGAATGCTGTGCCTCTTCCTAAGATCACGCATTCCGCGAACGAGTATGCACGCATGATGAACGTCGGAATGCCTGAATGCCCGTGCACAATGGAGTAGAGAGGCGGAAACTTGCCAGCGGGCCAGCAGATTGGTAGACTCCAGCAATACCAGGGGGTCAACTTCGCCGGATGGGCACAGAAGTGGAACGAGCACTGCGGCAAGATTGAGTCTGGCCGGGCGGAGTGGGAAGCAGTGTATCGTAAAACCGCGAGGCAAATGCAGGCTTACTACGAGCTTTACAGACAACGCGCGAATGCTACGAACACTAGCTAGACTAGACTGTTTCCAATCCGCCAGGCAAATGCGGAGTTGCGAAGTACTTTGCAGGAGCCTGCGGGAGGCGAGGAGTTTGCCGGTATGGTCCGTAGCGTAGTGCCCCCGGCTGTTCCACGGAGTCGTTCTGGGGCAGGAGTTGGCGCTTGGTACGGGGGTGGCGCAGCGGCTGGTGTAGTGGGTGGCGCAGCTGCTGATGTAGGGGATGGATAGATGGTCGATGTTGTGGGCGGCGGACATGCGGAGTTCAGCCCAGAACGAGAGTCGACAAAGGCCAAGGGTCCACCTCGAGCCCCTCAGCAGTGTGTTACGTGCGGCCACCGCAGACAGCAAGGCGGATACAAGGTGGCGCACCCTCCCCCGCGAGAGAGGGGAGAGAGCCGCGCTTGCAATGTACCAGTTGAGGAGTACCGGCCTGACGCACACAGGACAGGACAAATGAGGCCGGAGGGGAAGAGAGGAGGAGGGTAGTCTAGGTGTGATTGTGCCAAGTGCACTTCAACTGCATAGTCCTGGGTTCCCACGTTAAATTGCGTCAAATTGACACGAAAATTTTGGACTGAGATAGATTGACACCAAAAAAAGTGACGGTTGGCAAATTGACACGAAAAAAGGTAACGGTTGGAAAATTGAAACGAAAAACTATTCCGCCGCACGTTGCCTGGCGAAGGCCAGCAGCGGCGCAGCCTCAAGTTACAAAAACTTCAACCCCAGCTGCACCGCTGCACCGCCGGTAAACCCAACGGTCGCGCTCCCTCATCACCGCACCCGACACGGAACGAGGGGATAGCACGCCTTGCGCGAGGTAGAATCCGCTACGAGTGGTATGATGAGTGCATGCAGGTTCTACTGCTTGCTGTGTTGTGCGCGCTAAATTAGCTGGAGAGAACATGTTCCGATTGATTGCCATGTTTGGCGTAGCAAAGCTGGAGACATGTTTCCTCTCGACTCCCGAGAACTACACTCCGCGAACTACACTCCCCAAATCCCAACCGCCGCCAGCGGCTTCGCGCCCCTAGTACGTGCGCCCAGAGCTACCGTCTCTTCCACCAAATAACTGCTGTAACCTCTCCCTTCACGGGCGGGGCACCCGACTAGCTGCTGCTGTTGTGGTTATCTCCCGTGTGCTTCGAGTCCAGAGTCCAGACACACCAACCTCGGCGTGTTTTGTTCTCGATCCCGCGATGAACGCACACGATCCTAACCGCGGCTTGACGTTCCCCTAACGCGATGTACTCCCGGGAGCGTTGTGTTCACGTGTGTGGGTATGCGGGAAGCTGCGTGCGAGCTTGCCGACTGAGTTGATGCCTTCGTGTGTGTGCGATGGCGCTCGTGTCAAATTGTCGTTTCTCGTGTCAACATACCTCAGGTGAAAATATGTAGACCACGACCTGTGATTCTGACATGAAAAAGTGCGGCGTAACCTCTCGTGTCAAAAAAAGTCTGACGTCTCGTGTCAAATTTTCGTGCTCGTGTCAATATTCCTGACACACGTGGGACCCATGTCTAGATAGATAGCCAACGTCGGGGGTATGTAGCATTTTGTGTTTTGTTTCGTCTCGTAAAAAATCGTAATGGTAGAGTCAGGTCTAGTCTAGACTTTTTCGCTTTTTTCCCACCCAGCAAGCACGTACCAAGTAGCCTGTTGTGAGCTAATCGTGTGTTGAGAGGTGTTGCCCCTTTCTTTGAAGTATATTGTTGTAGTAACACCGTACGAATTATGTGGCGTTGTGAAATGTGATAAAATAACTCGGTATCGTCAGGAATGCTGTGGAAATGAAACTTGTCGTGAAGGAACGAAATGCAATCAAAGATTTCAACGCAAGAAATCGCGATCAAATCGAGCATCATCTCGAAGAGCAAGGAAGGCAAACGTGACAAGCAAACACAACAACAACCTAACCCGGACGGGAACTAGTCTAGACTAGTCTCTAGACTAGTCTATGCCTCCTCAATTTTTATTTAGTCTAGTCTAATTATTTTTTAAATCATCCCTATCCATGGGATCTGAGCCGCACTCAGCACACGACACCCCAGCAGCACACAGCAGACGAAAGCAGCACACCGTATGCTGACAACACAGCAGTACGGGAAGGGCCATACTGTTCAAAGAGGAGGGGTTAGTGGCGCTGGAAGCCGTGCTGTGCGTGCTATGGACATCGACCGCGCTAACCGACTGGCCAGTGAAAAGGTGTCAGTCTCAGTGCGGTTGAAAACACAAAACACGTTTTATCTGCCATGCACTGGGACCCCGTGAGGGGGCAGTATGGGGGAGGCTTCACTATCCTTCGAATGAAAGACAGAAGCAGCAGCAACAGAAGAAAACTGCAAGTGTCTACCAAGGCTACTACCTTGTACTCGAGTTCGTTTAGGAGTACTTTCACCATTATGGCATTATCCTCCTTGTGTTCGCTACCATCATTCTGATCCTTATTTTGACAAGAATCTCTGGGCAGTCCTTTCCTAGTCCTACGTTTTTTCTTTTGGGGAAGGTCATCTATCTGTGTGTGCGTGCTCGTGAAAGAAAATTGGAACTCGCTTCGCGGAAGAAAATATCATGTACTGCTACTGCTGTCCGGTGTCCTTGTCTTTGCAAGTATCCTTGCAAGTATTCTAAAGCATTTCCCGCTTGTTGGTTGGCCGTCGTTGGTAGATAGTGCGTTTGTTTGATCCGCATACAGTACTCTGCACAGCAAAATGTTCTCCGGGCATAGACTACCTGTAGAATCTACCATTGTAAAAGAAACGCAGGGATGAAACCTAAAAAAACACGGCCGCAGAAGGACGTCGTCATTCGCTGCGACCCCGTTGCTGTTTGTTGTCGACAAAGCCGCACCAAGAACGGCTCCAAACATAATTCAGCTCGCGCTCACGAACAATATTAGCCTCGTCCAGAAAAGGCACTGCAGCGCGGCAACTCAAGTATACTCCCACGCCCACTCTCCCCCCATGCCGCCCCGCAAGACTCCGAGCTGAATTCGCTCTCACCCTCACCCTAACCCTAAGCCATTTCCCAGAACATCTGTTCACTAAGCCTGCACACTTCTCGACGCCAGCACAGCAAAAAATAATACACGCAGACAATAAGGCCAACACAACTCTAGCTCCCCCAGGCTCCTCCGGCACCTCCCTGAATTGCATTCTGCCCGCCACCACGGGTGTCTCTCTTAGCCGTCGAAGTGCGCTTCTTGGTCTGTCCTGCCTGCCTCTTTTTCGGGGGCGATTGCACGTGGTCCAAAAATGCCACATCTTGGTCCGTCGAAGGCGGAGGCTGCCCGTGGTATTCGCCGGCCCGAAGTCTTTCGCCATTCAANAAGTCTTGGTCCATTCAATCTTGATTCCTGGAAGCCCTCCGGCGCACAGGAGTTTGTCGCGGCAAAAGCCGTGGGCGCGAGACTGAGGGAAACCTGCCCCACCCCGCCTCGAGGTGCGTTGCTCAGGGAGCGAAGCGGTGCGCCCAAGCCCCCCATCGGGGGTGTCCCGTTCGTGATTGCGGGGCCGATACCCACAGCAGTGCCAGTCCCGCCGGCCCGGCGGGCCGAAAGATCCACTCCAGGGCTTAGCATGCTCGCCGCCGAAAGACCAAGGCCCGGCCCTCCCCCGTCCCCTCCTCCACTGGTGGCGCCGGTGCCAGCCGCCGGTTGGAAGGCAGGAACGCCTACGGCAAGGCTCGACATGCCCGCCGCGGAAACACGAGGGCCCGGCCCTCCCCCCTCCCCACCCCGGCTGGTGGTGCCGGCGTCGGCCGCCTGTTGGTAGGCCGGAACGACCACTTCAAGGCTCGGCATGCCCACCGCGGAACCACCAGGGAGCGCCCCTCCCACCCCCCCTCTTCCTGTTGAACCGATCCCGTCACGTGCCCTCGCCCCCCGCCCGCCTCCCCCTCGGCCGCTTCCTCGCGTGCGACCGCTGCCCGGCGCGGTCCGGGCGTCATCTTCCTCTGGCGGGTCGGTGGTGGTCGTAGGCCGGGCAACGACTCCCTTGAAAATCCGGCTCGTGGAGGTCTCATGCTGCGACGCCACCTCCACATCGATGAGCTGCTTTGCGTGGTTCATCAGGTTGCCTAGGACGCGTTGGCAGGGGGCGACGGAGTCGAACGCTGTCATGAGAGATGCGACCTCCTTCCCGAAGGCGAGGCAGCTGGACCAGTTGCTTGCTCTCGCCGTGGGTTTGGAGTGGGAGAAAACGCCTGGATCGGCAGGAGCCTGCGGCAGCGCTCCGGGAAGCCCCGCACTTGTGTTCGACGGCACCGCACGCTTAGCGGCGAGGGGTGCCAGCGTCCACGACATTTCCTCGTCGCGCCAGCGGGGTGCAATGCACCCTGGGTTGAAGCCGAAGTCCATCTCGCGCATGGCCAGGAAGGCATGTCGGCAGCAGAGACCGTCGACCAAAAACCGCAGGCATGTGCAGAGCACGAATCCATCGGGTCCAAGGGCGACGAGGTGGCCGTACGCGGGTCCCCCAGCTGGATTCGGGAAGGACGTGGTGATGCGCACGAGTAGGTCGACATCGTGGCCCTCCACCATGTCCACGAAGAACTTGACGGACGTCCGGGTGGTCCACGTGCCATCGCCTCCGCCGTACGTGGGGTCGTAACACCACCCCGCGCTAGCCGGGTTCGACACCATGTTGGCAAGCTCGAGTTGGACGTTGTCGTTCCCTCTCGCCAGAATGCCGACCTTGTAGCCCATAGCCGCCAAGGCCGCGGTCGACGCGTCCTGCAAGATTTGACGGAACGACAACGTGACGCGGGTGTGCGAGGAACGGGGGGGGGG